TAAATATCAGAACAGAAACCGATGAAATGAAAAACAGAAAATCAATAAAAATTGATTATACCAAAAGCTGCTTCTTTGAGAAAATCAATAAAATCCTTTGTGTGACTTGAATTCTTTTAAATTTATTGAACAGAATCGACTCCAAAAATAGGCTCACACATGAATGGTCAATTGAGTTGAATCAGCTGTGCCAAGGCAATTAAGTGGAGAAAAGATTTTTTTTCAACAAATGGTGCTAGAAAAATTGGACATCTGTAGGCAAAAAACAACAACCTCAACCATCTCTCACACCATATACAAAAATCAACTCAAAATGGATCAGAGACTTAAACTCAAAACTATTAAACTTCTGTGAAAAAAACACGGAAAAAAATCTCTGTGGTCCTGGCTGAAGCAAAGGCTTTTTATATAGAATACAAAACGCACAAATAATTCTGCTTTTCAAGAGTCACTGTAGCCGGGCACGGTGGCTCATGCTTGTCATCCCAGCACTTTGGGAGGCAGAGGAGAGAGGATTGCCTGAGACCAGGGGTTTGAGAACAGCCTGGGCAACTTGGCAAGACTTCATCTCTATAATAAATCAAAAAATTAGCCAGGTGTGGTGGCGTGCATCTGTAGTTCCAGCAACTTGGAAGACTGAGGTGGAAGGACCGCCTGAACCCAGCAGGTAGAGGTTGTGGTGGCCATGAGCATGCCGCTGCACTCTAGTAGGGTGACAGAGTGATACCCCAAGTCAAGAAAAAAAATAAGGATGTCTAATAAAGGACTTGCATCCACATATATAAAGAAATCAAATAAATAATAAAACAATTCAATTTTTAAATCGGCAAAAAAGAACAGTTTACTAAAGAGATTCAAATGTCACACAAGCACATGGAAAGAGGTTCAGCATCATTAGCCATTAGGAAAGTGGAAATGAAAAACACAAAGAGACACTACAGAGAATGGCTAACACTGTAAAAACACAACATAAAGTGCTAACTAGACTACTGAGTATCTAAAACTCAATATTACTTGTATCCCACATCCTTAAAATAAAAATAAAACTCTCGATATTGCTCAGGGGAATGTAAAATGGTAATATTAACTTTGGAAAACGGTTCCGCAGTTTAAAATAAATTTACCATACAGTCCAGCAATCTCAGTCCTAAGTGAGATAAAAACCTGTGCTGGGCTGGGCTTGGTGGCTCACCCTGTCATCCCAGCACTTGGGGAGGCTGAGGCGAGTGGATTACCTGAGCCCGCGGGTTCGAGACCCACCCGGGCAACTTGGCGAGACCTCGTCTCTACAATAAATCAAAAAACAGTAGTTCCGGCTACTTGGAAGGCTGAGGCGGAAGGATCGCCAGAGTCCAGCAGGTCGAGGCTGCGGTGGCCGGGAGCATGCCACTGCGCTCCAGTCTGGGTGACAGAGGGAGACTTCAACTCAAAAAAAAAAACAAAAACAAAAAAACCTGTGTTGAACGACCTCACACTCATTAGGATGGCTATAATAAAAAGTTTTTTAGTGGAAAAAACCCCAGAAAATAACAAGTGTTGACAAAAATGTGGAGGAATTGTAACTCTTGTGCACTGTCAGTGGGAATGTAAAATGATGCAGCTGCTATGGAAAACAGTATGGTGATTCCCCCTAGAAAAATGAATACTAGAATGACCACATGAGCTAGCAATTTCCCTTCCAGGTATTGTCCCAAAAGACCAGAAAGTAGTCTCAAGAGATATCTGTATGTTTATGTTCATTCTTCACAATAGCTAAAACACGGAAACAACCCAGGTGTCCATTGATGGATGATATACACATACACTGGGATATTAGCCTTAAAAAGGAAGGAAATTCTGACACGTGCTACCACGTGGGTGGACCTTGAGGACGTGATGCTGAGTGAAAGAAACCAGAGGACGATACTGCATGATTCCACTCACATGATCTACTTAAGAGCCGTTGAAGTCATAGGGACAAAAGCACAGTAGATACCATGGACAATATACCAATATGTATTGTTTAATGGGTACAGAGTCTCAGTTCAACAAGATGAAGAGAGTTCTGGAGATGGGTGGTGGGGATGACTGCGCAGCTCCACTGAACTGCATGCTTACGATTGCAGACACGGTAAGTTTTACCTGAAAGAACAAAAGACCACAATGGATGGCATATAGCCAAAGAGCAGCCATTGTGACATGGCTTAGCTTTTGACATGCTTTTCTAGCAGCTCACTTCAACTCACCAACTAGCCATTAGCCAAGGACAGAACTGGTTTCCCAGAGATAGCTACTGACAATTGTCTTACAACCCCCCCCCAAGTCTGCTTTGTACTGTCTGCTTTTCTATTCCCAGTTTATCTTTCAGCCATAAAGAACCAGGATGGATGACCTCATCTGTTGTGATCAGCCCTTCGCCACCTTTGTGACACAGACCCCATCACATGACCTGCGTGACACAGATCCCATCACCATGGCAACAGTCATGTGACTAACCCACCCACTCCCACCTGCCTGCCATCCATCCGGGTGATATCAGTACCTGTGTTTACCTGCCCCTTTGTGATTATGTAAAACAGATCACCACTCAATCACCTTAACAGCTTGTCCCCATGAAAGGAAAGGTTTAAAAAGCATTCAACCTTAAGCCACTGGGGCCATGCTTCTCTTTAAGCTCTGGCTCCCTCCCCAACCTGGGGAGGTAATCTTCTCTCTCTCTCATTTACTTTCTAAATAAACTATATTTCTCAATCTAAGTTCTGTGCAATTATTTGCATCTCACTCACAGCACCAGCTCGGCACACCGGCCTACCGACCCAACAATTCTCACAGACCTAACACTATCACAATAAGAAAAATTGAGAACAGCTTATCTTGACCAAAAAACCCCATACATAACTAAAGACAGATTAATTGGATTACATCAAAAGTGAAAATTTTGGAGCTACCGAGGATACCATTAAGAAAGTGAAAGGGCACACCACCGAATGGGGAAAAAGGAAAAAAAAAAAAACCTTTGCAAATCATATATCTGATAAGGGACTTGTATCTAGGATATACAAAGAGCTCTTACAATAAAGACAAATAATTGCAATATGGATAAAGGATTTTTTTGTTTTTTTGAGTCGGAGTCTCACACCGTAGCCCAGACTAGAGTGCAGCGGCCACTCCCAGCCACCGCAGCCTCAACCTGCTGGGCTCCAGCGATCCTTCTGCCTCAGCCTTCCGAGTAGCCAGAATTACAGGCATGTGCTACCACGCCGCGCTGATTTTTTGATGGATTGTAGAGATGAGGTCTCGCCTAGTCGCCCAGGCGGGTCTCGAACCCGCGGGCTCAGGCCATCCACTCGCCTCAGCCTCCCAAAGCGCGGGATGACAGGCTGAGCCACCGAGCCGGCTGGACAAAGGATTTGAATAGACTTCTCTCCAAAGAAGACACACCAACGGGCGAAAGGCACGTGAAAAGGATGCCAAAGCACTCTGGCCACCAGGGAAAGGCAAGTGGTAAGCGGGAGGTACCACTGGCGCCCACCGGGAGGGGTGTCAGAAAACAGACCATTCCCTTAGCACAATGGCCTCAGGCTCCTCTCTGTTGTCTAAAAAAAAAGAAAGAGGGGGGAGAAAGAAAGGGAAGGAAGGAAACAGAACCACCAGGACAAGCGTGGGTGAGGACGCGGAGAAGCCGGCGCGCTCCTCGGTTGCTGTGGGGACCAGAGACCCCGCGTGGGGCGTGAGCGGGCCAACAACCGCGTGTGCGTCTGGTGGAACTCACTCCACCGCAACGCACGCTTGAGAAGCGCTGGGCTCGAGGGAAACACACCGGACG